CCCATAGCTCTTGTGCATCCAAGGTCAAGGATACATACGGTTGGTGGTGCAGAATTCTCTATGTGAAAAGCTTAAACCATTCTCACATGCCAGATCAGGTTGCCTGATATGAAATGAAAAAGCACTCTGCTGCTCACCTGATTCCTCTGTTTCTACAGAGCCTTCAGGATGAGATGGTATCTCTGTCCCTACAGAGTGTCCATATGAAAACAATGACGTGCCTTTTGCCAACGGCTTCCATGAAGCCTCACCTTCTTGTAAACCAACTTGCCTGGGCACAGGAGCTGGACGTCGTTGTACTCCTTGTCGAAGTGCATCAAGATCTCCAACTAACACAGGAAACCTCTTTGCTTCTCTTCGATTCATCTGTGCAACTGCATCACGTTGGTTTTGTCCTCCTCGACGAGTGCGTCGATGTTCTTCTTGTTCTGCATAGGTGGTTGCTAAGGCATCCGCACGTGCTGGTTCAGTCTCTGCAAATGCAAAGAAACCATGACCAGAGCTTGATGCTGCAGAAGAATAATGAGCTTGTTGCTGTTGTTGGTTTTGTATGGCAGGAGTCGATGAGGTCTGAGGTTGAACATAGTTGGACTTACCTTTGCCATCTCCTGATTTTCCTCCTTTGCCTTCATCATCCTTGCCTTTCTTGCCTTTCTTTCCTTTTCCTTTTCCTTTTCCTTTTCCTTTCCTCTGGAAATATCCATACTCATCAAGATAGTACAGATCTTCATAGGCCCAATAGCCTTCATTCCAGTTCTGATCATCGGCCCAATAGCCTTCATGAGAATCATTCCACTCATCTCCTTCATTCCATTCTTCCTCATAGCCTTCTTCACTCACCATGTGAGAGCGGCCTTTTCTCCCTCCTTTTCCTCGGCCTTTTCCTTTCCTAGATCTGAAGAACCTTCGTCCTCCTCTGCCTTTTCCTTTTCCTTTTCTCTTTCCTTTACCTTTGCCTCGTCTGGTCTGTCTGCCTTGGAACCTTCTCTGATACCATGTGTAGTCAGCGTCATCATAAACCCAGAAAACATCTTCTAAAGCATCCAGGAATCCTTCTGCGCCGTCTTCATCATCTTCGGCCCAATAGCCGTCGGTTCCTTCTAATTCACCTTCATCCAGAACGAGGAAAGATCTTCTCTGTGCCATGCCAGAGGGTTGCATCATTGGATTGTCTACTGCCGTCTTTGTAGTGCAAAACATTTCCAAGAATAGATCTCTGAGTTCCTGCACATTGTACTGATCGAGTGCGCGGCCACGATGTGTCATGATACTTGTGAGTGTGTTCCTCTGATCTTGAGTCAAATCTGCTAGACTTACAAAGATCAATGCTAGCAAGTTGTCACCCAAGGGAAATGCCAGTCGCTGCTGTTGTCGTCTATTTTCATTGATTTGCCTGAATGCTACCAAGGAATGATCATCTGTCCAAGGTACATTGACATGTGGCTCTTGTCCTGGTACAGCTGCTGCAAGTTTTGCGAGTTCAGCTTGACGTGCTTCATGTTCTTGTCGTTGTTGTTGAACATACAGGATTGCTTCTGGGCTAGTAATCAACAGGTCTGGTAGTAAATCCATCCAAGACTCAATAAGTCTGTTTCCAGTCAGTTGAAATCTAGTCACCCATTTTTGAAGATCCATAGTTCCTCTGTTGTACTTCATGAGCTGCAATAAACGGTGTAAGAACACGCTTTGGGCACCTTTGATGAAATGAGGTCGTAGAAATCTTTTGAAGTAGTTGACCCCATCGTTGGGATCTCTGAGCATTTCTCTGTCTAATAACTTCTTGTATTGCTGCGCCCCTCCTTCCAGTCGATTTCGCAAAGCTGGTCCACGTTTTTCAGGTTCTAGCTCCGTGATGTCACGCCAGTCATCAATAGCATCTTCAAATGCAAAGAAGCTGGTTCTCCCATCATATGCAGGGGCTACCTTCGTGGTCATCTGTTGCGTCATATGGATTGAGGGTTGTTGAGGTGCTCTTCTCATTGCATAGGAGTCAAATTGATTCCATCCATCTGCATCGACAATGTCGAAGTCATCATCATCATCATAGCCATGGCGAGACATATTTGGCTCTACCTGGAGTTCACCTTCAATGAAGGATCACTGCTCCGCTACCACTTGAAGAGGGGCACTAGCGTCTAGTATAGATCAGCTAGAGCGTCTTTCCAAGACAGCTTCACACCCTTTTACTCACGGCGTATGCCAGTCGGTGCGGTGTCTACAGGATTACTCTATATCTCTCTTTTGAGCCTTGACCAGCGTATATAAAGTGTGCTCAATACTCATGCTGTACCCACGTAGGATTCAAGTCAAAACAAAAACACGGGGAAGGGGGGAGGGGGGGTGACCTTGATTCAGACGAAGCAAAAACGCCCAGCAAGAGAACAAAGGAACAAGCCCACAGGCGTGCCGGCGTGTCTGATTGGAAGGTTTGTTCTTGTTTCTGTTCTGGGCTTGTACTTGTTCCTTTGTTCTCTTGCTGCGCGTTTTTGCTTCGTCTGAATCCAGGTCACCTCCCCCTCCAGTCCCTTCCTCCCCCCTTCCCCCTGTTATTTATTTTGTTTTACGTGTCTACACAATGCTTTCATGCATGTTGACATGTACACAGAATTCACTATGTACACTGCGCCACTTTGCTGGCTCAAGACTACTGCAATTCCGCGAGTAGAAAAGAAGAGTGCAGCAGCCACTTCGTGACCCCAAGTGTTTAAGCTGTTTCCAGGGCTCCCTCAATACGGGGAAAGCTACGTCAAAGTGGTAGCGGAGCCTGTGCCTTCGCCAAGTCTAGATCTGTGTGCCGAACTGTTGTTCTTTGCATACGCTCCGTATATCGGACTTGCGGAGGCAACTTGTAGGTCAAGTTAGAGTAGCTGCCATGGTCTTAATCCACAACATGAATTCAGATGAAGAACAGTTCCAGATTGTTTCTTATGAAGAGCCTGAAGCATATGCCGCCACCAGTCATTCCGAAAACCGGATGGGCATCAAGATGACACCAAGAGTTCCACCCCAATTTGATGGCCAATCTAGCTGGTTTGAATATGAAGACTTAGTTGATGACTGGTTAGGGATCACAACATTGGATGCAGATAAGCACAGACCATCATTAAAGAATGCCCTCATTGGTTCAGCTTCTTTTTATAAGTCGATGCTCGACAATGCCCTACTCCGAGATCGGATCGTGGCCTCGCCCATTTTAAGGACACATTGAGACCATACTTCGTGAAGGGAGTAAATCATGTGTTTCTTTGGCGATTCCTCCAGATGTTTCGCACATATCGAGGCCAGAGTGAATTCGTGCACTGGATTGGGCGATTGGAAATCGCGCAGAAGCGTTTGTTGGCTTCTTGGTCCGATCTGCTAGACATATCCGATCTTCCTGAAGCAGGCACTCAGGCATTTACGGCAGCACTCACTGATGAGCAGAGACTGCACTATAATGGAATAATAGTAACAGATGAAGATAGGCTAGCTTATCAACAAGAGCTTCGTGAACAGACCATTGCAAATAGAAGGACCAGACATGCCGGACAGTTTCCATTGTCAGACCATTTAATGTCACTGATTTTTCTAGTTCAAGCAGACCTCAACGAGCAACAACGTGAGCGTTTTGTCTCGTCAACGAACATCCGTCAGATTGCAATGCCTCAGTATACTTATCTTCAAGTGAAGCAACTGTTCTTAGAACTTTTTGCCGTTTCTCGCGCACCACTGCTACTACTACGACGACGACTACTACTACTACTACTACTGCTACTGCTACTGCTACTGCTACTGCTACTGCTACTAGTACTATTACTACTACTTCTACTACTACTACTACTACAAGTACTACTTCTACTACTATTGCTATTACTATTACTACTACAACAACAACAACAACTACTACTACTACTACCACTACTACTACTACTGCTACTACTACTACTACTGCTGCTGCTGCTACTACTACTACTATTCCTCCTCCTCCTCCTACTACTGCTACTACTCCTACTATCACTACTACTACCATCACTACCAGTACTACCGGTACTACCACTACTACTACCCCTTTTCCTATTCCGCCTACGCCTACTCCAACTCCTCTACTCCTCTATTCCTTCCTCCATTCTTCCCGAAATACGAGATTGGTAGTGCCGGTAGCTGATAACATTGCCTGCAGCATTACCGTCGTTTACAGGTACTCGTCACAGAATGCACACGGTACTGATCGACCAGTACTCATTTGCTATGCGTTCCATTGTTTGTTCAGGCTCTGTCTTCGTCTCTTCCTCTTTCAGGCTTCCACCTAGCATGCACGTCAACCTCCTTTGTGGCCACCTCTCTATGACCGGCGGGCTTGCCGAACGGAATTAAATACAAACCAAGAACAGAAACACAAACAACACCTTCCAATCAGACACGCCGGCGGGCCGGCGGATTGTATGCAACTCCAACAATCAGTTATTCCCCACATGCTCAGCACGAGGAATTTCGGATCCTTGTTCAACTATTTTTTTCCTTCACTGTTGATGGTTTGCCCACGGCTTAAGAACCAAAATTTGTGGAAGGCAAAAAAACATTGCAACAACGAAATGCTGACGACGTCTTCACAAACCGGACATGGCCAAAACCGCAACAAAATCACAAACACAATATATATATATATTGTTTTATGTTTGCGATGTTTGCGTAGTCGTCTCTGATGTTATCAACTCATACCCTTAACGAACTGATACAATGACAAAACTTGTTTCTCAGCAAAGAAGTCTTAGATAGAAGAAACATGCATCATATTATGTCAGAGCAGGTTACTGGATCGAACCAAGGAAAACCATGTTATATCATATATCAATTAAACCAGAGCAAATAAACACCTATGAAATGACTTACTGAGTGCTTGCTATGTCTATACGCATCTCCATATACTGACACTTGTTGCAGCGTCAAGGATAGGACATATGGAAATGCCCACTGCCCTCTTCCTCGCACGTTGGACTAAACCGCTTTCCCACGTTGCGCAGGCAAAGCGCAGGACACGGAGGGTGAGGGCCAATTTGCGATGTTCAAAAGGTGCTACCAATGCCTTGCAAAAAGATGGATACAGCAGATTGGCCTCTGTTCCGGAATGATTGTGGTGACTCTTGCAGCAGTTGGAGCATTTACAACAATTTTAAAGCAAAGAAACCAGAATTGTGTGTTTGGAGATTTGTTTTGTTCATGATGTTTGTAAGGAGTATAGCGTTGTTTGAACATTGATTGGGTTGCACCTGTTGTGATGCGGGTCTGTATCACAGCAGCAAAGCAGGAAGAAGGACAAAATATTGAAGGAGGCATGATATTGCTTGCGCACAAGGATGTTGACCCTGTGTTGACATGCACCAGTTGCTCCTTGCTGAACCCAACATGGACTTGTTTTTTTTGTCGTGATTCTCATGATCCAAACTCCTGTTTGTAGCCGCAGCTACTCACACCAACTGGTCACTAGTAGTCTTTGTCCCGAAAGGCAGTTCAGTCTCCGCCACCTCCTGCCGTACCTGAGCCGGTGGCTGCTCCCAACATGCCATGGGTTAGGGCGGTTGGGGAGGTGTTCGTCCAAAGCAGAAAAAACATGAGAAAATCTGTGCACGTCTTTCATTATCTTTCCCCATCTAAGCCTTAAGTCGGCCAGTTGGTCCCAATTCTCAGAGGGCACGCAGGAAGATTGTTTATGGCAGATGTTTCCTTTTTCAAGATTTCTTTTTGCAGTTTGCTAGAGGAGATCATCATTGACATGATGAGTTCCTAGAGCGTGGGTTCTCCGATGGTGGTAGAGGGATGTAGAGGGCACATTGGATGGTGGTGCCCAAGGTGGCTGAAGCTGCTGAAACAGCTGAGGATGAGGCTGAGCGAAAGCGAAGGTGCGTGCCTTGCTGAAGGTATTTGCGTGATATCTACTATAACGATTATGTCTAACCATTCTGTAGTCATGAGGCCATGAGGTGAATCACGCACAGACTTTGCAGGATCCATAAATTCTTAACGAACTTTTGACCCTTCGATAGAGGCTATCAAGCTATATCAAGCTGACCAAATTGGAGTCTCACTGATCAGTGATCCCTTTGTGGCGCTTGTGCCTATGGTCATTGCTGTCCAGAGTCTTCAGCAGCTTCCAATACACTTTGCGAGGAAGAAGGAGAAAAAAGAGAAGAAGAAGGAAACGGCCGGGGAAGATGAAAGTTCAGCCGGATATTGTGGTTTCCAGTTGCAAGATTTGCAAGCACTGAAGCTGAGCAGGAAGTTTCCCGATTTGTCTCGTTGGATTTGAGTGGTGGGCAACTGACTTTTTTTGAGTGGTGGATTTCATTGGATTATCTGATCTGTGCAAGTGTTCCGTTTCGCCTCATCCTTGAGCTCCGACAACTCGAGTTGTGACAAGTTAAGACCAGACTGATGACTGACTAACTTTTGAGCTGACGCTCATCGTCGGCTCCGCCGGACTACTCGGTCTTCCATTTCGTCGCAGTGTGGGCTTGAAAGCTATTGAATGAGGACCTGCTTCAGAAATATATTCCTTAGGTTTTTTGGAACATATTTGTTGGAAATAGACGTTTTTTTTGGGAGCAAGTGAGTTCCCGAAAGCTCCTGCGAAAGGTTTTTCCTCAAGAACTGCTGCCAATTTCAACTTGTTACTTCGTGTAAAGGCGCCTCTGTGCAAAGACTTCTCTGTGTAAAAGCTTTTGTGTGTAAAAGTTTCCTTGTGTAAAAGTTTCTCTGTGTAAAGACTTCTTTGTGTAAAAGCTTCTCTGTGTGAAAGCGCGTCTGTGTAAAGATTTCTCTGTGTGTAAAAGCTTCCGTGTGTTAAACACTCTCTGTGTAAAGGCTTTTCTGTGTAAAAGTTTCTGTGTGTAAACGCGTCTGTGTGTTAAAGCTGTAAAGACTTCTTTGTGTAACAGCTTTTGTGTGTAAAAGCTCCGAGACGTTTGTGTGCAAAAGCCCCTTAGAGGAAAGACTTCTCTGTGTAAAACTTTCTGTGTGTAAAAAGCTCCTCTGTGTACAGGCTTCTCTGTGTAAAAGCCTCTTTGTGTGTAAAAGCTTGCTGTGTGTAAACGCTTTTGTGTGTAAACGCTCCTCTGTGTGTAAAAGCTTCTGTGTGCAAAAAGAACCCTCTGTGTAAAGACTTCTTCGTGTAAAAACTTCTGTGTGTAAAAGCTCCTAGACGTTTGTCTGCAAAAGCTCCTTAGAGTAAAGACTTCTCTGTGTAAAACATTCTGTATGTAAAAATCTCCTTTGTGTAAAGACTTCTCTGTGTAAAAGCCCCTGTGTGTGTAAAAGCTTCTGTGCGTCTCCTCCCTCCAGCTTTCTTTCGGGTCACGCTGTCGTCCAGTTTCAATCTGCAACGTTGTTTCTTGTGGAAGAATGCAAAGAACATGTGAAAGCATCGCGCGTTTAAAAATTGCACATAAACAGCGCACAAAGTGCTGTAATTTACAGCATTTTGCACTGTCAGATGACAAGAACCCGCGTAAATACCCCAGTTTTAGTCCCATTTAGTCCCCGAATGTGGCTAAAACACTGTTATTTACAGGGTTTCGTTCACGTCACGATGTTCGTTTTTTGAAAAACGCGTAAATACCAGCGTTTTTCGCGTTCATCAAAACAAAAAATCGGTTTAAAAAGTGCAAACAATGCTGTAATTTACAAAGGTTTTGGCGCCGTCACGGGCAAAAAATTGTGTAAATACCAACGTTTCTGCGTCCAAAAGTGGCCAAATCACCGCTGTGGCTTGATGCAGCTACCTTTCTGGCAGATGCAGAATGTGCAAAGCCCCTGGCGAAGTGGGGGTGCTACGCCCAAGTTAATGTCGCTGGGCACGGGATTCACGAAAGCTTCTGCAAGCTGAAGCTGCTCTTGCTTTGGCTGGCGGGACAGGAACCGCCAATCATGTGATAACTTCACAGTTCTACCTTGTGGATGGGGGGGCAAGCCTTGTAACCTGATGTACATGGGCTCGATTCTGCGTACCCTTTTTCGCAATCATTTTTTTTGCAGTCATTTTGTCCTCGTCGTCTCGCCTTCGGGGGAAGATTTTGTTCCAGCTCACGTCATGTATGGACAAATCGATCCAACAACGCTGAAAGAAGTTGGAGTATGATTCATTTTTCTTAGGAAAAAGTAGGTCGAACTGTTGGGTTAGGGTGGAGGCATCGTCGTCATAATGGCCATCATGGTCATCTAGGTCATTATGGTATAATCAGCATCATCACCATCATCACTCAAAGCATCGTCACTGTCATCGTCATGATCATGACAATCATCACCATCACAATGAATCAAGTTTATCCCCTCCTGTTGGCCCAGCTTGGAGCTATGTTGGCCCAGCTTGGGGCTATGTTGGCCTATCTTGAAGGCTATGTGCGCCGATCTTGAGGCCTATGTCGGCCGATCTTGAGGCCTATGTTGGTCCATGTTGACCCATGTTGAGCCAAAGATCCGAAAAATGGGATCAGCAAAAAAACATTGTAAAACGCAGGATATTTTGAGTCGGCGGCCTATCTTGGGGCTATGTTGGCCCATCTTGGGGCATTGTTGGCCTATCTCGAGGGCTATGTTGGCCCAGCTTGGGGGGCTATGTTGCCCCTATCTTGAGGCCATGTTGGCCCATCTTGGGGGCTATGTTGCCCCATCTTGAGGCTATGTTGGCCGATCTTGAGGCCTATGTTGGCCCATGTTGACCCATCTTAAGCCACAAGATCCAAAAAATGGGAACAGCAAAAAACACCGTAAAACGCCGGAATTTTAAAGGACTTTTTGACAACACGTGGTGGGGGGGTGGTCGGCGGCAGGGGCGGCAGCCCCTCTCTCCTTCGGAGAGATGCCGTACGGCAATGCCTGGCCGGATTTTGATGGTACGGGGTTGGGGGGGTGGTCGGCGGCAGGGCCGGCCCCCCTGTGGGCCCCTGGCCGGATTTAAGCGCTTACGCGCGACAGCCGGCCAGGGCCCATGTTGAGGTGATAGGGGTGAACGGCTTGGGGCTATATCGGCCCATCTTGGGGCTATGTTGGCCTATCTTGGCCCATCTTGGGGCTGTGTTGGCCCATCTTGGGGCTATGTTGGCCCGTCTTGCGGTCTATGTTGGCCCATGCTGACCCATCTTGAGCCACAAGATCCAAAAAATGGGAACAGCAAAAAACACTGTAAAACGCGGGGGTTTTTGAGTTCGGCGGCAAAGAGGAGAGAAGGCCTTCGGCAATGCCACGGCCACTGGGCCCCGTGGGCCCCTGGCCGGATTTAAGCGCTTACGCGCGACAGCCGGCCAGGGCCCATGTTGAGGTGATAGGGGTGAACGGCTTGGGGCTATATGGGCCCATCTTGGGGCTATGTTGGCTTGAGGGCAATTTGGGCCCATCTTGGGGTTGTGTTGGCCCATCTTGGGGCTATGTTGGCCCATCTTGCGGCCTATGTTGGCCCATGCTGACCCATCTTGAGCCACAAGATCCAAAAAATGGGAACAGCAAAAAACACTGTAAAACGCGGGAGTTTTTGAGGTCGGCGGCAAAGGCGGCAGCCCCTATCTCCGACGGCCACGTGGGCCCCGCGGGCCCCTGGCCGGATTTAAGCGCTTACGCGCGACAGCCGGCCATGGCCAGCTTGGGGCTATGTTGGCCTATCTTGAAGGCTATTATGTGGGCCGATCTTGAGGCCTCTGTCGGCCGATCTTGAGGCCTATGTTGGCCCATGTTGACCCATGTTGAGCCAAAAGATCCGAAAAATGGGAACAGCAAAAAAACACCGTCGCAGGATATTTTGATGGTCGGCTATGTTGGCCTATCTTAGGGCTATGTTGGCCTATCTTGAGGGCAATGTGGGCCCATCTTGGGTTTACGTTGGCCCAGGCGGCCTATGTTGCCCCATGTTGACCCATCTTGAGCCACTAGATCCGAAAAATGGTAAAAAATGGGAGCAGCAAAAAATAATGCAAAACGCAGGATATTTAAGCGCTTACGCGTGACAGCCGGCCAGGGCCCATCTTGAGGCTATGTTGTTCCGATCTTGAGGACTATGTTGGCCCATGTTGACCCATCTTGAGCCACAAGATCCAAAAAATGGGAACAGCAAAAAACACTGTAAAACGCGGGTGTTTTCAGGTCGGTGGCAGGGGCGGCGGCCCCTCTCTCTTTGGAAAGGATTTAAGCGCTTACGCGCGACAGCCGGCCAGGGGCCCATGTTGAGGTGATAGGGGTGAACGGCTTGGGGCTATATCGGCCCATCTTGGGGCTATGTTGGCCTATCTTGGCCCATCTTGGGGCTATGTTGGCCTATCTTGAGGGCAATTTGGGGCCATCTTAGGGATTTGTTGGCCCATCTTGTGTCTATGTTGGCCCATCTTGGACCGATGGGGCTGTGTTGGCAGAATCGAAAAATGGGAACAGCAAAAAACATTGTAAAACGCAAGATATTTTGGCGACACGGGGTGGTCGGGGGCAGGGGCGGCGGCCCCTCTCTCCTTCGGAGAGGAGGGAAAGCCTCCGGCAAGGACACGGCCAGCACCGGGCCCGGCGGGCCCCTGGGGCCCATGTTGAGGTGATAGGGGTGAATGGCTTGGGGCTACAGGGGCCCATCTTGGTGGCCTATCTTGGCCCATCTTGGGGCTATGTTGGCCTATCTTGAAGGCAATTTGGGCCCATCTTAGGGCTATGTTGGCCCATCTTGGGGCTATGTTGGCCCATCTTGGACCCATCTTAGGGCTAGGTTGGCCCATCTTGGGGCTATGTTGGCCCATCTTGCGGCCTATGTTGGCCCATGTTGACCCATCTTACGCCACAAGATCCAAAAAATGGGAACAGAAAAAAAACACCGTAAAACGCGGTAGTTTTTAGGTACGCGGGAGGTCGGCGGCAGGGGCGGCGGCCCCTCTCTCCATCGGAGAGGAGAGAAGGCCTACGGCAAGGACACGGCCAGCTCCGGGCCCGGCGGGCCCCTGCCGGATTTAAGCGCTTACACGCGACAGCCGGCCAGGTGCCCAACTATGTTGGCCCATCTTGTGGCTATGTTGGCCTATGTTGGCCTATGTTGGCCTATGTTGGCCTATGTTGGCCTATCTTGCGGGCAATGTGGGCCCAGCTTGGGGCTATGTTGGCTTAGCTTGGGGCTATGTTGGCCTATCTTGAAGGCTATGTGGGCCGATCTTGAGGCCTCTGTCGGCCGATCTTGAG